CACAAGTTGGGTAAAAGAGTAATTGCATTACACATTATTTCCATCTCTCTGCCATTGTAGCAGTATGTAACTGCTCTTACAAGACTACAGTGGTGGTGAGGAATGTTCAAAAAGTGTTCCTGTGTCCAGGAAAGACTAAAATGTCACAAAATCCAGAAATGTGGGACATCTGTGACTACTGTAAAACAGCTTTTAATTTATATTTAAAATGTAACCCAGGAGCAGTTACAAATACAAAAGCATAAGTAGTTATTCCAATATAAATTGGACTGTTATTTCTTAGGTCTTCTGAGGCAGCATATCAGATTTGAAACTGATACATTGAAATATTTTTTTAAAAATCGGTAGACTTCCTTTTCATCCTTGAGGAAAGCAGATGGGGAGAAATAATAGGACTATTCTGCTTCTAGTGCTTCCACCATTCAGAACTGAGCATTGTCTGGTTTTCCCTCTTATGAAATGGCTGAGTTTAGACCCTAATGGGTTTTTAGGATTTTTAATGTCAAAATAATTTTGTTACTAGAATTTGAATGTTTTGTGCTTCTAAGCTTGCAATGAAATAGCAAAATCTTCTCTGAAGTGTAAGTAGTGCTAAAAAAGATGCCTGTCATTGATTTCTAATCTTTGATTCTGGGTTTTCTTAAAAATGTATAAATAATAGATGTCAAACTAATTTCCAGGTTATTAATTTAATTTTAACTCTTAGGAGTTCTCTCTGGGATGTACATCACCATACAGTTTAATGCTTCTGTTTATACCTGCCAGCTGTGCAGTTACTGTATGGGAATTACCTCTCATTAAAGCAAAAGAAACACTGAGGGACTCATTAGATGAACTGCAAAATTAATTACTGGGAAAGAGATGTAAGCAAAGCTGCAGTAAACCACTGTGAAGATGAGAGTGTGGCTATGTGGGTGCAAGCAGTGGCTGCAGTAGTGTGGAGTATTGTTTTGGAACAGGAAAAATTTGGGATGTGGAGTCAGTATGACCATCTGTCTGACCACGTGCTCATGACCACAACTTGTTGGGCTTAAAAGTGCATGAAAATTCTGCCACTTCTAAAGTCTGATACATGGAAAACTGACAAAGACCCTGCACAACTCTTCCCTGTGATACTTGGGTTGTATTTTCCTAATTTTCTAATACAAAGGGATCTTAGAAACAAACTTCTGTAGGAGATGGAAGGACTGGATGTATTGCTCTACAGTAAGAGTAGCTTACTCTGAAGAAAAGTTAATGTTACTTAAACAAAGATGTGTAATGGCTCCACCCTGCATGTAGTAGCTACAAAGTCAGTTCTAATTTCCTGATTAAGCAGAAGAGACATTAATGAGTTGGGACTAAGTGGGAATCAAAAGCTTCCTGCCGTGTGCAGATGGAATTACCTTTTGCTTTGTTTATGAAATCGTAAATGACACAGTTTCTGATGAAATATCTATGTATTGGGCAGCATCTATTCCACCATGGTATTGAAAGAAGTGTAAAAGATTGTCAGACTGGAAATCTAAGGTTTCCTTTGCAGCTTCCCCTGTTATCAATCCTGTGAGCAGTTAATAGACCTCAGCCATCAGGCTCTCAAGGCTTGTCTCATAACAGTGACCAATCGCTTGGGGACTAATACCATGTGCCTTGAGAAATTGCTTTCTTCCTCTGAGAACCTTGACAAAGAAATTGGACTCTTTAAACCACTTAAGGGGGTGATCAAATCTGTCCTGCTTGAACTGGAAGATGTTTTTGACAGTTCCTGGAGCAGGCCCATAAAGGAGCACTCTGCCACCGAGTTACTGCTCATACTTGTGAAATACCTTGTCATGATCCGAGTTTCCTGTGCTGTAAAAGCTGCTGAGTTACAGACAAGCACAATGCTGGTCAGAAAGTGTTGCCATCAAATTTTTCAGGGTGAATATCACAGGTAGAAGGCACCTTTATTGACACTGTAGAGCAAGAGTAGCTGAGAACTGAGTAAGATATTATCTACTGAGGTCTGCTGTAAATAAGAAGTATGTTTATATTTTGGCAGTAATCAGCGTTTCTGTTTGATGTATGACTTGACGACTCAATTTAAGATGATTTGCTTTCAAGCCAGTGACTTGAAGCTCAGGGAAAGCAACTCACAGGAAGGGTGAAAACGGCTATGTGATTTTAAAAAATAATATTTTAGTAGAGGACCCACTGTGAAGGAAGACATGGTGCTGACAGGATACTGTGACTTGGTTTTAGTTCTACCACTGCCCTGCTTAGGAGATCATTGCCCAGTCACTTCAAGTGCCCAAAACTTAAAAGGGGTTTTACAGAAAAAATGTAAACAACCAGAAAAGAGGCAGTTATTAGCCCTTGAAATGTGGGTCAGTTCTTGGGTTTGGGTTTTTTTCAAATTAATGCTGAAAGAAGCCTATAATCAAGCATACAGAATAAAATCTATTACTGCTACTGGCTTTTTCTCTATTAGCTTGATTTTCTCAGGATTTTAGCTGACAGGAAAATTCATGCAACACTTACTGAGGCTTTTATTTGTCTGATGCTTTTATATTTATAAAAGATGTTGAGCCCTGACAATAAGAATCTAGCCTCTTGAGCTGGAATGCTCTTAGCTGCTAAAAAATCTGCTGGCTTGGATCAAAGTCATAAATACCATGATGTTGCTTCTGTCAAATCTCTTTATTGCACAGCACAGCCATGTGGGGAAGAGATTACTTTTGGTTTTTCCTCTTAGCCACCACGATAAACTTTTGATATGGAGTTGTGAGGAGAGGTAGAGGAAAGATGCCATTAGAAGAAGGGAAGACAAATGGAAAGTCAGGGTCCTGTCTAAAAACACATTCACTTTGCTATATGGGTGTCATCCAGCTTAAGAACTACATTCACTTTTCAAAAAAAAAACCCAAAACCTTAGCATACTCCTCAATAACAGTCCATCTTCCCAGACACTTTTGTAAGCTGCAACACTGAAAAACATAACCATCTACTATTTTTTCCTAGTTGATCAGAAATTAAGAAAGAAAAAAAAAGGAAAATTGTGGGCTCTGCAAAATCTTGTGTAACAGTTGCAAAACTTCCAAACTCTCCTCTCTATTCTATCAGTTAAAGATGTTGAGACACCCAGGGCTTTCTGGGCTCCTTTATGAGTGGCTGCAATCAACTGTAGATGTTTTTATTATTAATAAAATCAGTACTATCTGGCATCTATATGGCATCTAGATTCTCCATCACATTTTCAGGAACCAGCTGCCAAAGGACTTCGGAAGGTTTGTTTTTTGTCTTGAGCTGAAATTTTCTATATAATTCTTAAATTAATTGCAGGATTTATAAAACTGACTTTTTTTAAAAATACTTTAGATAGGAGGCTGATTTTCTACTAAAATAAAACTGCATCTGCTAGAGCCCTTTTTAGCACTTCTGAATCTAAAACAAAAAACGGAAAATATGTAAAGATCCAAGTTCAGTGTAGTCCTTTTATAATGGTCTAAAAATAATCTGCCTCTAATTGATAAAAACAAACTTCTGGAAAATTTAACATTTTATATATTTGCTATAAAAATACATCATCACTTCACAAAATGGGCTGGAATTCTGTTATATCTGGATGAATCATCACCCTCCAGAGCTGTTACTAAGCTGTGTGCTGTCCTTGTTAGTGCTTGAAAATGGTGCTGTGACAAAGCTGGCCTGGACAGCTGCTCCCTGGGGAGGACAGACACCTCAGCACAGCTGAGCAAAGGGTAGCTTGGACACAAATTACAAGGATGCAGGGAGGGTTAAACCAAGTTAAGAACTTTCAGACTGACAGAAAGAAATAGTATGACACGTCTGAATCTGAAAAGATTCAGTTAAAGAGAATCCTGAAGTGATGTTTGGTAAAGTGATGAGGACTAGGATATATGTTTTGCAATTCTTCACCTTTGTCACAAGTCCTTTTATCATCAATTCTGAGGTCAACAGGAGAAAGTGAGAACAGATGCAAGGGAAGATATATTTAGATTTACAAGAGATTGCTATTTTCCACCCTTTTGTGTTTTGCATCCCTCAGACTTCCAAAAGTCCCACAAAGCACCAGACATCCAGATGGAAATATGACATTTTCTTGTATTCATTGTTGATTCTACTGTCCATCTCCAAGCCCATGGTCACATATTTGATCGCTTATTTTAAGAGCAATGAAATGGTTGGTGGGAGCACTGGGGGAACATGGCAGGAAAAGGCTGTGAAGAGAAGAGGGTGTCCCATAGCCTCATGGGTCTGTGGGGAGAAGGGGGTGTCTCGTCTCCACCTGGGTGTGTGGGGACACAGACATTGCTGCCAAACTAATTTCCAGGTCATTAATTTAATTTTAACTCTTGCAGTCTAACTCGTGTTGTTTAGACTATTGCTGTCTACTCAGTCTTGGTGAGGCCAGTCTGAGCACTGTGCCCAAATCGGGGCTCCTCCGTACAAGAAAGGCAAGGAGCTACTGGAGAGGGTCCAGCAGAGGCCACAGAGGTCATGAGGGGTCTGAAGCATCTCTTATGAGAGAATGCGACAGATAAACCTGTTAAGTCTGGAGAAGACAAGCCAGAGAGGGGATCTCATTCATGCACATTAAGATCTCAAAGACAGGTGCCAATAGGATCGTGCCAGACTCTTTTCAGTGGTGCCCAGCGACAGGACAAGGAGCAATAGCCATAAACTACAACACAAGAAGTTTAACCTCAACAAAATTAAGAACTTTACACTGACGCACTAAAAGCTGCCCAGGGAGGGAGGGCGTGGATTCTCCCTCTTCGGAGACATTGCAAACCCACCTGGACGTGTTCCTGTGACAGCTGCCCGAGGTGCTGGGTCGGGATGGTCTCCAGAGGTCCCCGGCAGCCCCGCAGCTCAGAGGCAGCGGCCGCCTCGCCCCTCAGGGGCAGCAGCCGCGGAGGCGGCGCCTCCTCCGCCCCTCACGGCCCGGCCGCGCCACCGCCCCTGAGGCGGCCGCTGGGGCGGGGCGGCAGCGGCGGTGCCACCGCCCTCGCTGCCCATGCCGGAGCCTCGCGGCGGTGCCGCCGTGTGTCCCTCCCTTCTCCAGCCCGCCTCCCTTCTCCAGCCGCCCGGGAGCCGCGGGCAGCGCTGGGGCGGCGGCACATGGCGGGCGGCCGCTGAGCGGAGCCGCGTCCCGGTGCGGAGCTCCCGCTCCCCGCAGCGGGGCTGGGGAAGGAGCCGGCGGCCTGGGAAGGGGTCGAGCCCTGGTGCCGGGCATGGCGGAGACTCTGAGCTCCTGCTCCCCACGGGGCCAGTGCCAGCCCAGCATGGGCGCCAACGCCTCGTCTGCCAGCGTGGATGCCAACGCCTCCTCCTCGGTGGTGGGCGGCAGCGCGTGGAGGGGCCGGGAGCCCTTCTCCATCTTCACCGTCCTCATCCTCACCCTGCTGGTGCTCCTGACCGTGGCCACCTTCCTCTGGAACCTGCTGGTGCTGGCGACCATCCTGCGAGTGAAGGCCTTCCACCGGGTGCCCCACAACCTGGTGGCCTCCACGGCGGTGTCGGACGTGCTGGTGGCGGCCCTGGTGATGCCGCTGAGCCTGGCCAAGGAGCTGTCGGCCGGGCGGCGGTGGCGGCTGGGCCGGGAGCTGTGCCTCGTGTGGGTGTGCTTCGACATGCTGTGCTGCACGGCCAGCATCTGGAACGTGGCGGCCATCGCCCTGGACCGCTACTGGTCCGTCACCCGCCAGCTGCGCTACACGCTGCTCGCCCGCCGCCGCGCCTCCAACGCGATGATCGCTCTCACCTGGCTGCTGGCCGCGGCCATCTCCCTCGGCCCGCTGCTGGGCTGGGGGGAGGCCTACAGCCCCGAGCAGCAGCGCTGCCAGCTCCGCCAGGAGCCGTCCTACACCATCGTCTCCACGGGCGGGGCGTTCTACCTGCCCCTCTGCGTGGTGCTCTTCGTCTACTGGAAGATCTACAAGGCGTCCAGGTGGCACATGGGGGCCCGCAGGAGGAACGCCGTGCTGCCCCTGCCCCAGGCTGCCCAGGTAAGGCTGGGCAAGGGGAGGGAGCCCCGCTGCTCCCCGGGCACTGCCAGCCTGATTCTGCTCAGCTCCGGCCCTCGCCCCTGCCAGGGAGGGCTCGGCACGCCGAGAAGGATGCGAGGTGCCCCGGGGCTCCCGTGGCAGTGCGATTTTGTCACAGAGTGGACGTGAGCAGTAATTAGCCAGTCAAAAAGTGCAGCTCCTGGAGAGGAGCTTTATTCTCATTTTTATCTCGTGTGTTATAAGAGTAAGGGACAGGTGCATTCACTGCCAGTCGGGAGAGACATTTGGAAATTGTCTCTTTGTCCTGAATTTGCCATTCCTTGGTTCGTTTGGGTTTTTTTTTTATTTTTTTGGGTTTTTTTCCATCTGTATTTTTCTCGTGTTGGTGGGGTAAAAAAAAAGACATAAACAGATCCCCAGGTCCTGCACCGAGATAAATGTGCATTTATCTACCAGCACAGACTTTCTGAATACATTCTGGCAAGCAAATTAGGTATTATTCGCGATATAAATGTATGTATATTGACGTGCTTGGGCTATTTTTCCTTGAATGCTGCTCAGTGCATAGTGTTGAAGCAATGAGCAATCATTTCTGGTTTAAAATTACCCATTGGCTTCAAAACCATGTTCTCCTTATCCCAAAGATTGTCTGTAATCCTGCAATGCCCTAGCCATTTGGGAGGTTTTGTACATTTTGGGGACACACTTTGCTGACAGGAAAACTGTGTCCCTTCAGAAGGTTGGGGTTGGTTCCTTGTGCTCCCTAAGTCAGGCTCTCTGCATGATGCTGCTGTTGCCTGTGCTTGGCTGTGCTCTCTGTAAACTTTCCCTGCTTTCTGTCACATATTCTCACTCCTTCCTACCAGTCTTTATGCTTTTGTGATTGCATGTTGCATTTCCTAAACCCAGTCCCTTCCCAGTAGCCAAAGATGAGCTGTGTGGATGTTAGAGAGCATTTCTGTTCCATTGGGGTTAATCCTGCAGAGCCTCATTCCCCTGCAAAATCCTATCTTTGATTTGGAGGCAAGGAAGCTCATTATCATGGTCACAAGTAAGAGTCTGTAGTTTGTGTCCCCAGATGCTTGCAAGAGATGCACTGGTATAATTGCATTATTGCACTGGAATAATTGCATAATTGCACTGGCAATTTTGTGTGATTAGACTTGCAGATTTGGATCATAATGTCCTGAAGCTACTTCTAATATATATTGATTCATGAAGGTTATCTTCTATGAAAAAGCAAAAACTTTGTTAGAACAGTAGAGAATGTCTCCTCTAGTGGCATTTTTTTTCCTACGATCTTCAGCCCCTTGTTTGTACCAAATTTCTTCCAAATTGTTTTAAGTATGATGAAAGCATTGCTTGGAGTTAATATATAATCTCTTCAAGCACAAAAGCCAGCTGATTATTTGTATTTTGCATGCTCTATCTTTTACATACACACACCCATACAGAACTAGTTTGTATTCTAAAATTCCGGGAAGTGAAATGAGCTGAGGCATTGCTGCTCGAGCCAGTGGAGAGACACATCCCAGGCCAGTTTTAACAAGACAGAGTCTGGCTGCAAATTGTCATAGTTGTGTCTGCAGGAGGCCCTGCCTGGGCCCAGCGTGGCTGCCAGGTGAGTGCTTTTTGTGATGCAGCATCTGGGGGCTGCTTTAGGCTGCACTGGCAAAAGGGCTCTGTCACAGTGAGCTACACACCCATTTTGGAGGGATTATTGCAATACCAGCAGATACTCAAGCCACTAGGTCTTCTTTCTCATTGTTTTGATTGGCATATTAACTGTGATTGACTTCTCCTAACAGGGATTCTTGAGTCTGCAACTGATGTGTAGTGGCAACTTCCTCTATTGTCCCAGCAGCTCTGTTTGCTGACTTCTGTGATTCAGATGCAAACTTTGCTCCTCACCGGAAAGAAGAGCTGATGCTGCACACATGTACATTGTGTGAGTGTGTGGATCAAGCATGCTGCCATTCAGGATGCATTTCCTGTTTTCTTTCTAAATTAAGATACTGAGATTTACTCACCGAGTGTTATCCTGATCCTTTTTAAGCTTGTGGTAGTAGGATCCATCACTTTCACAGGAATAGTAGCAGTTTCCCAGTGAATTCTGGAGGGGAATCTTCACACATATCACTACTGTTCTTTGGCAAGAACCCTGTTGTTTTTTTAACATGCAAACACAAAGGTAACATTGCCAAGCTTCGCTTCCTTGCACGCAGGGGTGATCAGGCTGTCAGCATCAGCTCTGTCCTCTCTGATGGGGCAAATTCTGTTCTGCTTCTCATGGTTTGCCCATCAGCTCATTCTAATTTTCCCTTTCTTTCTCCCTTGATGTCCCTCCTCCCTCTACTTTCTTCCATCTCTGTTCTCAGAGAATGCTCACCTGTCATGCTCACCCTGGCAACATTTTCCTTCTGTCACTGTGACTCTGGATGTGAATTCCCCTCTGCATCTATGTCAGTCCTCACTCCAGGTGCCCTGCACCAGTTGATCTGAGGAATATTAGCAGGGTTTTTTTGGCACAAGGTTGGCAGTGCTTCCCAGTCAGGAGGTGAGCAATAATAGCAGTGATCCCTGCTGGGAGAGATGTCTGTGTTGCTCTCAGGAATGAGCTGTCAGGTAGTGCTGGACTGGAACTGCACAGCAGGGCTGCAGTTGGTGGCCTGAGGTACAACCATCTGGTTAATTCTGGCAAGTCTAAGGTCAGAAAAGGTCTGAGTCATAGCACTCAGATGCCAGTAGGGATGTCTTGGAAAAACCAGTACACCAAGTTGGGCAGTGAGGGTAAAACCTTGATGTTTGTCAGCCAACAGAGTCAGGCACCAAAGTGCTTTGGATGTTGCATATAAATATAATATAATTCATATAATGCATCATGTTATGCATATAATATAATGTATTATATTATGCATTATATAATGCATATAAATATAATGGTTTGGTTGTTTTCACAGAGAAAGGGCATTCCTTTCAAACTGGGAGTTGGCATACATGCATTATGTTCCTACACTCTAACAGAGCTGCAGAATAGAATAGGTACAAAATAACTATTTTGAGTCATTCTTTTGTTAAAATTTTACTTGTGTTTTTGAAAAATACTTTTCAAAACCTTTGAAAAAATTCAGGTGAGGGAGATGGATGTGAAACATCTGAAATGCTTCTGGTTTAAATGAAAGCTTGGTTTTTGCTTTCATTTGAAATAAAATAATTGCCACATTGGGGTCCTAAATTAAGTTGGTGCTTTTATAATTTTTTGTTTGCCAATTATGAAACTACCTGAAAAGTGAATTCTGCAGGCAACACTGACGTGGGTGACCCTCATTAAAAACCTAGTGACATATCATCACTGACAGAGAGCTATGTGCTCTGTCACACCTGGTTGACAGCAGGCAATAATTCTCTCTCTAAACAGTCCAATTGAAATAAATGAGACTGCTTGAAAACCAGCAGATACTTCTGGATAGTGAATCAATGAAATCAATTAAATCAGTGAAATCGCAGCATAGGGATAGCCCAGCAAAACCAAGGATGATGTGATCTGAATGATTGCATTACTTACATGTAGCAATTGCAAAATTAGGTTTAAATGTTCATGTGAGGAGTTAAAAATCAAGTTCTGTTGATGATTGGTGGAGGTTTTGTTGCTTTGTGGTTTTGTTGTTGTTGTTGGGTTTTTTTTGTTTATTTCTCCCCTCTCAAAGTACTTATATAGTGTATAAAAGCATTAGGCATGATCCAAAGCTTAGAGTTTTGTGAGAGCCCTTCCCACTTTGGATAACATCAGGCCCCAGAGCTCCAGAGGTGCTGTGCAGCTCTGCACCTTGGCCCATTCAGCTTCTCCAACTCACTTAACCAAGTCAGGACAATGTGGGAGGAAAAAAAAAGATTCTCCTTTTCTGAAGGGGTCACAGGCCTTCTGTTTCTTGACCCATCTCTTCTACTTGTACAGAGGTACAAATAAGAAATAAATTTCAGCTGTCTGGAAGAGGTGCCAAAATGTCCAGAAAAGAGTGAGGCAGGAAGCAAAGTGGAGTGGGTAGTGATTTCCTGGGAGAAATACAGTTAGTCCTGCTTACAGCAGAAGAAATTCCTGGGAGAGAAAGCAGGAGTTCTTCTCCCTGTCAAATGAACTGTTTGTTATGTTGATGGAGAATCCAAGAGAGTGTAGACATTTCTCTATTTTGAACCTTTGCATTTAGCTTCTTGTGCTCTTGTTCAAAGAGCAAGAAGTGTGCCAGGGCTGCACTGAGGCTGTAATGACCTTTGCTGAACCACACTTTGACAGGCAAAGCTCTAAATTTGTGGTGCTAAGCCAGATTTGATGGATGTTTATCATTACTGTTGTTTTGTTATTGCAGGCCCTGCAGGTGCAGGACAGACACACACAGAGCACCTGCCACGAAGGAACAGTAATAACAATCATTAAAGCTGTAAGGAACATTGTAAATCAAGGGATTTTGTCAGAAGCTCCTTGGTGGCATATTTTCTATGACATTCTAGGAGCACAGGAATTGGGAACATACAGCTCTAGGAAAATGTATCCATTTGGGAGTAGTAATTTACTGGGGACAGACAAACAAGAGAAGAGGTAGTGAACTGTAATTGCTTATCAGTGTACAGAAGAATAAATTCTGGAACTAAAACCAAACTCCTTTGTGACTGTAGAAGGATTTGTATTTGAGCTCATTTCCTTCATTTACTTTTTATTAGTCACACAGAGCAGCAATAATCTCTGCAGTTCTCACAGCCCATTGTTCTGGAAATAGCTGGTTTCATCAGTTCAGAACCAAATTCTGGCCTCAGAGGAGCAGTCCTTTCATGCCAGCTATTCCCCAGTGCTCCTGACTCGCAGCTCCTGGAGCAGTGCCTGGGCAGATGAAAGGAAATCTGTGCCCGAGGAGGCAGAGTGTGCTGCTAGACACTGAATGAGAGCAGTGTGCAGCACTGCAGAGATGGCTCCAGCATAACCCAAGGCATCTCCATGGACTGCTCTAATTTACAGTCTGTGACCACCTCTTCTGTCACAGCCTGCTTGCTAGTGCTCATCAGTAAGCCCAAAATGGGGCCAAAGGTTCTATACTTGTCCTTTGTTCTGTGTGGTATGGGGATAAAGGTCAGCTGTTGTGACTTACATTGAAAATTGGAGTAATGAAAAAACTCTGGGAACTGCAGATTTGATACACTTAGAAGTAATTTACAAAACATACTATGATACAGTTTCACTTGCTGTTTTGTTTTCAGAGTCCTGACCTAACAACCAGGGAAGTTTTTACAAACTCCTCTTACTTCAGTAGGAGCTTGACCAGGCTGCAGATGCAGGCTTCACTGTGGAAAACACCTGAGGACTGAGGTATCTTCTAGCAAAGGAAATGAAATAACCTTTTCTCACAATATATAATTAGTGATAAAAGGGTCACTGCTAGTAAATTCTGCAGTCAGAAGTAGTGAGAAGGCTCTCATTTGATTTTGTGATTTGATGCAAGCTCTATCATCTGAGCAGGAGTTGAAGGTTAAATAGAGTACCAAACTGTGCCTGATGCTCATGAGGAAGTCCTTTGTATGGCTGTTCCCATGAGGCACTTACATAACTGTTCCTGAGGGCTAAGACATAATCGTTCATGTTCTTGTCACAGATTTGTCCTCGTGTCATACATTCATCCCTTTTTGCAGAGTGTGATTAAGGACGTGCAGAGCACGTCCTTCTGCAGACAAATGGTGTGATCCTTGCTACATGAGGGGTGTCCCATTTTAATTGTCAGAACAGATGTGATTTTCATTTTCCTCCATTATTTGCCTGTGCCCATAATCTGCTGCTCTTACATTCCCAGCCCCATCTCGTGTCTGAAGGTGCAGACAGGGATATCCATCCTGAAGAGTGATTGTTCAGCCACTGCCAGTGCTTCACTGTCTGAATTGCTGTGCTCATACTGAATAGAGGCCCTCCTTCTATTGCAAGGTAGCACATGGATGTGCAATATGTAGCTAATTTAACAATGGCCCATATTTGGAGTGCCTGTGAATTATCACTCAGGCAAATTTTGCAGCTTAAAACTGTTGCTTTTATTGCACTCTCTTCATAACTGTGCCTAGAAGAATTTTAATATCACAGACACTTCACAATCTTCAGATTAAAATCTCTAGGGAGTGTCTTCATCTGGTCAGACTCAAAGTACACAAATAACTTTTGCCCAGAAGCTGTTTGTCTCCAATCACTGTGCTGTACTGACTGCAGAGCTGAATGTCTTGCCTGTAGTGAGAGGAGACAAGAAGCACTGCTGCAAGCCTGGAGTAGCCAAAATTTTTTCTTCTCTCATATAGCCTCTACTGAAGCCAGAGTTTGAACTGAAGGTCAGTTGAAATGGTATTTTTCTGGCAATGGTGTACTTTTTGAGAAAGTTCAGAATTACAGGACTTGGAAGGGACCTCTGGCGATCATCTAGTCCAAGCCCTGTTGAAGCAGCTCAGCTAGAGCGGGTCTAAAGGCCATGTAGCAGCATGAGTCTGGTGCAGGGATAGGCAGCAGACACAGGCCTTCCTTAGCCTGCCTTAACAGCCTCATTTCCCCCTAGGTATGAAGGCATCCAGTACAATAAACTGAAAAAGAGTCCCACAACACGCATGGCACCAGGTACTCTTTATTTAGCTCTGTTTGTCAGTTACACTTGGCAGCTTTTCCAGTGTAATGAGTTTGGCACTCTGGGGCATTTTCTTTCTTTTAGCATGGAAGGAATGAAGTTCAGGCCTTTTGTGGTGGGTGCACAGATGTTGTACTGTCATTTAAAAGTAATACTTCACTCAAACTGTCTTGGTAAGAAACTGTGTTTGCTTTTGTTTGAGGTGAAGGAAGCTTCACAGGAACCACAGATGGTGTTTACAGCTCGTCGTGCAGCTATCACTTTCCAGACAGATGGAGAAACATGGAGAGAACAGAAAGAGAAAAAGGCAGCTCTGATGGTTGGCATCTTAATTGGAGTTTTTGTACTGTGCTGGATCCCTTTCTTCATCACAGAATTAATAAGTCCCCTCTGTTCCTGCAACATCCCGTCCATCTGGAAAAGCATCTTTCTTTGGCTTGGCTACTCAAATTCTTTCTTTAATCCTCTCATTTATACAGCATTTAACAAAAATTACAACAATGCCTTCAAGAACCTTTTTGTAAAACAAAGATAAAAGGGGACACAGAGGAGAAAATTATTATTGCGTAATAGGAAACATGCCTGTGCTATGTACAGTTTTCATGCACAAGAGCTACTTGAGGGGATTTAGGAGCAGTGAAAAAGAAGATGGAAGATGTCTGGATATAAACCTACTGGAGAGTTTACAGTTCTCCTTTAGAAACACAGACGTGCTACGCCGGTGTTTGGCAAAGAAGGTGGAAGCAGGGAATGGCTCCCGGCTGCTGCTCGGGCACCGCGGGCTGAGGGCTGCCGGCGGTGTCACAGCCAGCACGGCTGAGCCCGCCCGGCCAGCCCCGGCCCTGCTGGGCTCTCCTCATTAGCAAAGGCACCGCTGGGAGCTGCTAATTGAGCAATACTGACCTGTATGTACGGGCAGGATTTATTTGGAAGGGAATAAACATGCTGCAGTCCATCAGTCCTTGAGCTGATGTGAAATTAAAGTGGATGACCAAGCAGCTCAGAAACACACCCTGCCAGGACTGAGGGGCTGTGTGCTCTGCAGGCAGCAGGGCTTGATGGGCAGGCTGTGTCCCCTGGGGTTAAGTGAACCTTAAGAGGCAAGTATAGAATTATTCAGAGCCCCTGAGAATGTGTTCTCAGTGCTTGCACAGGAGGATCTAGTGAGGATCTAGGGTTGTCCTCTCTCCCTTTTTATGAAACCCAGGTGAGCTCAAGATAAGACACCAACACCTCCAAGTGAAGGGGGACTGTGTGCATGGTTATTTCATGCTACCATAAAACCGAGCAGGCATCTGTGTTACAAACACTAAACAGGATGTTCAGTCACACCAGGTGTGCTGGCTGCAGCGTGTGGCTGCTTGGCAGTGGTTGGTGAGTGCCTGCACCGGGTCTGGGGCCCTTGCACCATAAATGTGCTCATCACCCAGCCTGGGTGAAGTCCACAATTTGTCAGCTGTCATCACCTTCCTTCTGTTGTAACAAAGGTGTTGATGCCATCAGGCCTAAGTACTCCCCAAAACCCAAAGAATTCAAACCAAGCCTTAAATAATTTTCCCAAGATCTTACGAACATCCCTGACCCAACAATATATACATAAATAATCTATTTCCTTTCCTTGCATACTGCCAAGTCCATCTTGTTCCATATTTGTTTCTCTGGTGGGTTTTACTTCCTCCTCTGCTCTGAGTGGGAGAGCTGACAGCTGAGTATTTCTGGCATGGCAGCTTTTTACTGACACAGTCCCAGGAAGCTAAAAGGAGCTGCATCTCAGGAGCACAGTGTATGGTGAGGTCAGGCAGTGCTGTACCTCACACCTGCACTGCTGTGACAGTCCAGTGTGACTTGCTGTGCCCACAGCTACCTGTGTGTCTTGCATTCCTGCAGAGGATGCTTCCCTCAATTTCAGTGGGAATTCAGAAGTTTTAATAACCTAGAATTTCAAAGAGTTGTTAGACAGTGACTCAGACTTAAATGCTGATTTAAATAACTTTCCCTTGTGACTCTCAACTTGCCTGCATATAGAATAGCTACCACTCAAACCAGGCTTTGGAGGCTTAATTAAACCAGAAGGAAGGCATGTATGTAGGAGACTGAATGTACCTAAAATCTGCAGCCTCATTCAGAACCACTGACAAATTTTTCAAGTCAATTGATTTTTTTCATGTAAGAGAGTCACCTTTAAAATCCAAACAGATGACATGGAAGAAGGAAATGTAGAGGTCATCTTGAGCTGGTGTTCAAAAGCATACAAATCTTCTGCATGTGGCACCGTGAAGTTTCTAATAATTGTATTTTGGACAAATTTTAGTGCCTGTACTCCCTCAGCCTGCTAAGCCAAGCCATTACTCTCACACAAATCCAAGGCCAACGCTGGTGCCCTGGCCCATCCCAGACTGGCTGCAGGAGCTGCAGTGATCTCCAGCTGCACATTCCAACTGACTGGAGCAGCACCCAGCTGTGCAGGCACCTTCTGCCATGGCTTGGCCTCTGGAACCTGGGAGAGCACCACAGAGCTGCAAGGCCCCTGTGCAGTTCCTGCAGCTGCACACGTGCAGGGCAGCGCTGCAGACACTGATATGCAGCAGAGTGCCTTCTGCAAGTGGGAGAGCAGCAGCAGGGCACTGACACAGCTCTCCTCCTCCTCAAGGATGAATTTAGCTCCCTTAGGAGGTGAAGCTGGCCTCTGGAATTTTGCTGTGAGGAGTTCTGAAGAGAAGCAGCCAGAGCTCTGCCCACCCAAGGATCTGTGCCAGCAGCGAGCGTTAACAGTGACGGGCTCGCACAGCGACCTCCGTGTGTGCCCAGAGACAACGAGAGGCAAGCAGAGCTTTCATTTCATTGCAGTGGCTTTAGAAACCTCTCAACAAAATCAGCTTCCCACACTAGCTCTAAGTGCAGACTAGATTGAGAAGAGTGGCAGCACACATTCCAGTTTTTACCAGCATACTGCAAAGAAAATATGTTATCAGTGGTTGTTGCCTAACCTGCTGGATACTCCTATATTAACTAAGATTACTGACACAGTATCTTGACTATCCAAACAGGAAAAAAAATATATTCTAAAGGGACATCATTTGGCACAGCTTAGATGTTATGTATTTATTTCCCCAACAAAAGCTGCCAATTTGGAGTACACCAATCATCTCTGCTTGTAAGCAGTTTTAATCTTTATTTCCTGACACTGAATTTGCTCCTAAAAAAGTTTACTGAAGTCTATTGCTCAGCAGAAGGGCATTGTTGCATCCTGCAGCAGCTGTGCTGTGGGAGCCCAGAATGTGCAGAAGTGAAAGGGCTTTGGAAGATAACTGTGAGCAGACAATGCTAATAACCCTAATAAAAAATTAGGTTTTGCTGCAAGTCCTGTAAATGTTACTTGGTAAGCCTTATAAGGTAACATCAAATGAGTTCAGGGCAAGACCTTTCTCTTTCAACAAGGAAATCCAACAAAAATTCTGAGAAAGTCTCAGACTTGCAACCACCCAAGATGCAGAATTAAGATAGATTTTCCTTGCTGTTGGTTTCTCCCCAGGTATGAGGCGAAATGGCACCCAACACACAGAGCCTGTGCCAGAGAGCAAGAACAGCTGATGGAACTGTTTTCACACCCTCACCAGACTCCTTCTCCTTTTCACATGGGCCTCAAACCAAAGGTAGTGGCCATCTGCCCTGGGCTCCATCTACAGCAGTCAGTTATAATCTGGACCCTGATTTACCCTTTGTGGGCAACAACTGCATTCTACAAACCTCAGATTTATATCTTAGTCAAAATCACAAGCTCCTAGTCAGAGCAATGGATCTCACCTTTTTATATTCCTTGTGGAAGTTTCCAGGTTACTGTGCTTGTAGCAGATAAGCCTAAATTTTAACATTATGCTGAACAAATAATGACATCATTATTCTTATATGCAAGTCCATTATTTATCCTACCTAGGAAATTTTGCTTGATGCTAGAAAGCAATTGTGATTAAAATGATAAATCCCAAACTGAAATGCCCATTCAGGTTATTCTTTTAGAGTTGCATGGTACACAAACACAGCACAGCTTGAATTCCCAAGCAGGTCTCTTTGGTGCCAAAGCTGAGTTATTCAATTTACAAACAAACTAGAAAGTGCCTCACAGTTTTTATAGAGGGCAAAGTTTGTAGACAGAAATAATGCCTCCTAACAGCAAAGATGACTACAGAAAGTCTGCAAGCAGCACTCGGTCCAGGTTTCCTTCTTTGAAGGAATGTTGAATCTAAGTTTTTCCTTCTTTGAGGGGACTTGGAATCTGATTTTGCCTTCATTATTTTGCTAGCCCTGGGCAGACTGACTTTTTGAACAGAAGCAAGAGGAGCATCCCAGATCTATTCCCTCACTAATCCGTGTGGGGGAGCAAGGTTCCAGCTGGCTAAGTGGGAAGGTTTTCTTTCTGTTTGTGCTGAAGGAATAGGACATCACAAACACAGTGACTCATTTGACTATGGACACAATTCACCTTTTAATGCACTTGTAACACAGGAGCCTGGGAAAGCTTCTGAGACAAGTTCCACCTTAAAAAACACAATATCAGAATGTCACTGGATTCCAAACATTCTTTATTTTATATCTGCTGCCACAGACAGTAATCGAACAGCGCTGTCATCAGTGTCAGTGTGAAAAAGGAACACGGGTCCTCTTCTCCTGAAGAAGTCATGTACATTAGAAGTCAGTCCAAAATCCTGGTGTTAAGTACAAAAAGCAACTGTTTGAATTATAAAATACTGTATATACAGATATAAAAATGTCTCAGAAAGTGTCCCACAAAGTTTCTGAACTTTCCAGAGCAAATCTTCAGCAGGGTAAGTAGGTTGTTGTCTTCAAAGGTGAGCATCAGTTCATTAGAGCAGAATGTCTCAATCTTTATCTTCCTATATTACAGGTCACAGACTCTGATTTTCATCCCAGCCAGGGATAACGTGGTGATCCTAGTATTGTTTTTTTCCTGCAGCTATTAATTTAACAAGCACACTTCTCTATATATAAAAATGAAATTTCAAAGAAATTTATACAACAGCTAGACTTTATAAAAATAGAGATCTATAATTTTACACCAGGAATTATCCAAGGTAAGTTTTCATTTTCTTAGCCATTAGAAATTAACTGTTATCCTTTGTAATCCTATATATGGTTAGAGTATAAACTAAAATAATGTGACGTTATTAGCTGGAAAAGCGAGTTTGAAGAATCTTGTGCTGTGTGTTATTTTTGCGCCAAAATTAACAAACTACTGCATTCTGCAGTGCTCATCCTGTGGGGTGGTGGACATACTACACAGTACATGTAAATTCATTCCAGAATTTTCACCTAATTCAATGTTAAAACCCAAATAAAAAACATTCCCACTGTCCTTATGGTAGGGAAAAAAAAACCAAAAAAAAAACCAACAAAAAAACAACCAAACCCAAATAAATAAAATTAGACAGTATTTCTATTTTGCTGTACTGTGTTAGTTCTTTACTGTGTAGTGGAGACAATGAATAATTCAGCCATGTGATGAGGGAATGTAAACTGAACACATACTGGAAAAAAACAGACTTTTACAGCTGTGTGTATATATATTTTTTATATATATCTATATATATACATCTATATTGCAGTTATAACGGTCACCTCACAAGAGAGATTCAATGGACTGAACAATCTTCTATAAATTTCCCCAGCTGGAGTTCTTCAGGAAGAACTGGCTTTCAGCTTGGACAGCAGCATTTCATTCTTACGGCATTCCTGTTAACAGAGAGCAAACAAGTAAGCAGGAATTCCTCTTCACTCTGCAACCTGTATCTCCACATCTACAGAACCAAACCCTTTCTTTCATTTTGAAACATCTCCAAAATCCAAAGCAGCCTGGAGTGAGTGATGAGTTGAAGATAATTCTGCTTCATCCATAATGTTATTCCAACAGCAATATTCTCTAAACTATGACATGCAATCCAGGAGGAACACTGCTTGATTACCCATCTGAAGTTTTTACATGTAGCTAAAGCAAATTCAGCTTTTTACTTATAAGTAGAATAAATCTGAAATGGAGATAACTTGTAGGTGATCTGGAACTTCTCAGGACAGTTTGTAAAAGAGTCAGAGCTCAGGGAACAACTCTTGGTCAGGAAACATAGGTACAGACCTGTGTTCAGTACCACAACCATGACTTTTTTGCTTTTAAGGGTAGCAGAGTTGAGCAGAAATTCCCTCACATGGCAATGGAAGAAAAATAGGTAAAAAAACCTAACAATAAATCTACCTAAATTCTGCAAGTAGGATGTAAAATTCTGCATGTTGGACAAGTAGCTGAACAGCCCCTGTCATTCTGCCAGAGTACGCTGTCTGAAACAGGAAGGAGCTGTCTCAGAACAAAGCAGGAATAATTACACAAAGATGTTTTTCCTCGAACATATGAAACCAAATTACAATTTTGCCTGCAGCGTTCTTTCTCATTCATTCATTCTCATGGAGACAGCAAGTAACAGAAGCCCATGATGATTAAAAGCTTGGGAAAGGCTAAATCAATGAAGTGTTATACAGTGCTTTCACAGTCATTAGGCAACAAGGCTGGTTCCTGAAGATTAATGACCAAGACCCTGCATTCCCTCCTTACTCACACACATTTCCACACCCGTCTTTGCTGCAATAACTAACTGCTCACGGACTTTTGAGAGATTCCACTTAAAAACCTAAATACACCACTTGCTTGATAAACTCTCCTTGTAACATGGAGAGGTTCCAATCTAGCAGTGAAAGAACTCCCAGAATCAAATTCAGAGTCCAAGATTCACATGGAGAAAACAACCAAGGCACATCATGAACATGGTGTGATAAGCATATCAGGAAATCGTGTGCATATATTAATGCACAAGTCACATCAAAATGGGTCACTGAACACGACAGTTTAACATAGCAAAAGTGTTCTTACCTCTTTAAATTCTTTCACTGTTTTGAAGTAAAGCCTCTGTTTCTCTAGAAGCTCTAAGTATTCATCATTCAACTGGTCTCTTCTCATTTTGTTTTCTTGCTTCTTCTTTTCCATCTGTTGGTATGCAGGAAGGGTAAGAGATCATATGTATGGGATACACATGGACTTATTGCATAAGGAACAGCTCTCTATAACACACAAGGGGAGACAGATACTTCATAAATGATACCCCTGGCTCGTGCTTGAAATGCAATGAACATTTAGATCAGCTCTTAAAAATTAAAAGCCTAATGCTGAAGTCTCAGTACCAGTGGCACTACAGGTGCAACTGAGACAAGGGCACATGATGGTTGGGACTCTGAGGTGCTGCTGACCCTCTTCAGCAGCAGAAAGCAGCTTCAGTCAGCTCCCACAGTGTGAGTAACTGTGCCTGAGCACCCACACAGTCCAAATGGAAGAGTTCTCACTGATTTCTGTGGCATTTGGCTGTCTCAGGCATTTAAATCACTACACTGCCAGTAATGAAGTAGAGGGGTATAAGATTCTGTCAGGACAGAGGCGTTACAACATCTCTGTCATACTCTATTCATTGATATTTAGTGGTGAGAAGTTTCTGACGAATGTGAAAAGAAATAATACTTTTGAGTTGCTTGCCTAATTTGCACCTCATGTAATGGATAATAATTGTGCATAGAAAGATCCAAGAGGCTTTGCTGAGATAATTCCCAGGTTCTAGCAAAGGAAGTGAGAGGAGTCAGACCTTCATTCGATTCTGTTTGATGCCTTCTACAATCTGCTCCATCTGCCGCAAAAACTGCTCCCGAGATCCGGACGATGCCATGGCTCTGGAAAGAAGAAAATGGAACCCCTGACAGGGATGTGGCACACTGTGTCTCAGCTGCTGCTGTCTTGCACATCTACCCATGTCCAAAGTTCTCATTGCTTAGTGTTCTGTATAAAAAATCATCCTTCTGAGAGCGCAGCTCTTCAGCTGGTGTGAGCTACCTAAGAGAGAGCTCGGAGCCCATCACAGGTGTGCTCCTATCAGCTCAAGTCTGTTCCTTGCCCTCATGTGCTGTACAGAAATCAACTGCTAAAAACTAAATAAAACCGTAATTTTTTAAGAAAAGTCTCTGTTGTGAATAGTAAGAAGGTGACCTGAGGTCTAGGAGAACAGCAAATGTTCATGTGAAATGTACAATTTCACACCATAACAGGGAAAGCCTAGAAGTCATTTTAGACCCCAAAATCATTAGAGAAAAATAAACACTGGCTGATTCACAGACTGATATTTGACTATGAACTTCCAAGGCAACCACAATTTTACACAGATTCCACAATATATCAAAATCTCCAAATACAGAGGTAGTTTATAATAAACATGTCTGAAATATATCCCAGTCTAATGTTTTGTACATAATGTAATAACCACAACTCCACAAAAAGGAGGAAAATATTTAAAATAACTCCAGGAAAATTATTACTGAATTTTCACATCTAAATTGTCAGATATTAAAAACATATGTTGGCCATAAAAGTTAGGTAATTCCAAGTCTGTGATTCCCCAAACTGGCTTAAACAGAGTTAATAAACTATTCTGTAAATCAGTTTATGACTATAAAATCTTCTAACGAATTTTTTAGTCGTTATAACTGGTGCACACTCCCATTTGTCCAACCAACTCTACTACTCTTTACAACTATTACAAGATAAAGAACCATAACTTACTGGTGGAAGTTGTCATGGATAGAATTCAGTAAGTTAACCTGTGAGTTGGAAAGAAAAAAATGAAGAAAATACACATTTGTCTCTTCTGGTATGAATTTTCACAGACAATAAGATAAATTTAATTTTAAAAATGTTACTATATAGATAATACCCTCAAAAGCAGACAGATGTACAAAAATCACCGTGAGTTATCTTTCAGAAGGTAAACCACAAATTGTTTTGATTTAGTAAAATCTATCCCACTGGTTGAATGACAGAAGCAGAAGTGCTGGACCACAACTGATATTTTTAATTTTACTGGCACTCAGTTGTACCACTGAGAGTTTTCCAGCATGATGCCTTCCCAAACTAAAGCAGTAAGTTAAAGGGGCCTGTACATGTGTTCAGCATGTGTTGGAATTTGACATAAAAGCAGATGCTGGTCCAGTGTTCACCGCTGATTGTTAACATGTGCACAAGCACATCACAAATAAACAGGGAAAAACCACTTTTGCCTTTGAGATGGGAACCACTGACCAGATTCTATTTCCACACAAGGGCTCTGGAGACTCCAAGCAGTGCAGGAGCAGCAGGTGAATTCCTGCACTGCTTTATTGTGCAGATGAGGTTTACAGATCCCCTACCAGCCATGCATCATTACTCACTTTGCTTATGTGTATCTTACTGGGTGCTAAAAGGTAAACTCATAAAAAGTACAGATTGTCATTTCAGAGGTGTGGCTTCTCTTACAAGACAGTAACATTGCACTGAATGAAGATAAAAATGCACAATATAACAGCATCCCAGGAATATTTTGCTGCTTGTATCAATTCCCCCAACTAATACCTCAAAAAAAACCAAACAAAAAATAAAACAAAACCCCTAACAAATAAATCTGCATTAAATGCTAATGTAGGGGAGAAGTTAAAGTAATGTTAAGTAATATAGCTTGTACTTCATGCAGTTTTTAAAATATGGTACGTGACTTTTCTGAAAGGGAAAAAGGAAAACTACCTAACATGGATTGGAATTAGCTACTTAAGGGAAGGAAATGGTTGCTCCTGATCCCCAAAACAGGATGTGAAAGGGCACTGATAAAATATCTTTACATAGTCAGAAATTTGACCACTGCTTGTCTCACAAACTAGAAATGTATCTAAATAATGCAAAACTCACTAATCTGTTCTTATTTTATTAGAATAAACAGAAAAACCTGAGGTATCAAAACATTTTGTATTTTAAAAGTAAAGTTGTAATTTTTATTTCCTCTTGTTTCCTCCTATGCGTCCATCTTTACTGAAATCAGACACTTGTGATTGTAAAAAAAGAAGACTGAAATCACTCAGTTATGCCCAAGAAAGAAGTGAACTCTACATAGACGGGAAAGAGAAGGGGGAAAAAAATATTCCTTCATGAAAACTATTCTTCTGACCCAGTAAAATCACCAGCAAATTAAGTATAGGGAGCTGAGACCCTGAGAACTACATCTGCCGCTGCTGACAGCAGCTTAAATTTGCTCTCCAAAGTTACTGACTGTGGTCTGGGTTGATAATAAAAGGTATTGACTAAAAAGAGAGAAAAGGGTAATTTGGTGCTATGATTACAGGTATTTGCTGATCAAATGTTACTCAAGTTTTGGGAGCACAAAATAAACATGCTATACTAAGAGCAATTCTTTTACAACACAGACCATTGCCCTTCCAAGATTACAAATATTCTTAAGAATCAGTTGTTCCATTTTTGTTTACAGACCAGTAAGTCTGCTCTCACAGGACTGAATATGGTGAAAACCAAGCAAAAACTTTTCATTTGCTTCTCCACAGACTGAATACTTAAAAAATAGTAGTAAATTTTCTTACCTCCTTTTCCAAATATACTTTCTTATCATCCAGTGTATTATAAAGAGTAAAAAACTGCTTCGTTTCTTTGTGAGTTGCTGAGACTGCAAACAAGAAAAAAAAGGGGGTAGAATAATAAAAGAATATGAAGTAAAATGGAATCTGTAAAAATACTCCGTAGGCTTTATATAACATATTTTCCACTATCAATAATGGAACACACTTGCTAACATACATGCAGAGGGAACATCCTTCCAGAGTTTCTCTCAGCAGGGTTTCCAGCTATCATCTCTTGTAAGAACAACACAGCTCAGTGTCTAAATTAAGCCCCAGCTGCTGACAGCTCTTTCTGCCAACCCATGTAGGCACCATCAGCTGCCTGTCTGTGCTTCCTTCCCAAGCTTTACCCTGACACCCCCAGGCAGCTGTGCTGTTCACAGTGGTCTTGCCTGTGGTGTTGGAGGGGTACAGGCTCAGCAGGGACAAGGAAGAGCAGATAATTTTGGTACTACTGTGTGGAAAAAAAAAGTGCATCAGACTATAAATGTCAAGGTACATATGTGCAAGATCCCCAACAAAGCTTTTCCTGTTTTAGTCTTTTTATCTTCTTATAATCTATGTGTGGTGATAGAATTAAATAATACTTTCTGGTTTAGGTGGTTACAGAAGATGTTGGTCAGAGCTCAGCTGGGAAGGCAAGGCTCAGACATGCCTTCCCTTTGGGCCTACAAGATGATACTCAAATCTGCTGAGTCTTACTGTAGCCTTTAGTTCTTCCATGCCTAAGGAAATCCAATATATTTGTGACTCCCAAGGAAAGAGTTCAACAGGCAGCAAAAGTAATTCTGGCTAGAAACCACAAGCTGGAAAAAATGTATGGGTTAAAAATTATAAACCTTGGTGAAATCTTAACTCTTTAGTCTGGGATTTGCAGAACTGCTGCCAAATGAAAGAGGCCTTTCCCAAACAATTTCCTTCATGTAACTCCTTCTGCTCTTCCAGCAGCTCTGGTCACATGTCTTTCATGAGTGGATTCCACAAAACAACTCAGAAAACCTTTCAAGATTTCACCTGTGTTGGAAAGTTGTGCCAACTTATGGAGCCTTATGGGTACATACCAGAACCCATGGAGGGTAAAACAAAGGGAGAAGAGGAAGAGGGAACCAATTGGTTCATTGAGTCTCTTAAATATTTTCAATGGAAGAGGTTCAGTTAGGTCAAAACCAAAACACTGAACATTGTAACTGAAAAGGATTCTGGTACAAAAACCACAAAATCACTAAGGCTTGAAATTAGTGCTGAAGAGTGTCCTGTCTAACCCCTTGAAGCAAAGTTCAAAAAAACCATGTTTTGGCAACTGAAGATCACCTGAATCCAGCTAAATGAAAAGCCTCTAAGTACCTCTAAAAACACAACAATTCACAGAAAAACTGGCTAGAGATTTGCAGCTCATTTCTCTAGAAGCTTAGCCCGTGCAATGCAGGTTCCCAGCCATGACTGAGCAGAGTGTTATCCTGAGATATAACTCACACTTTGTACTTTAGAAAACAAAGTCCCATAAAATTCAAAGCATCTTAAATCTGCACAAGTGTCTTTGATGCTAGTCTCTCTGTACTTCAGATACAAAGGAAGCTCCATCTTTTGAGCAGGTAGCTCTGACCAGACATGACAGAGAATGTGCAGAAAATTTAAGGAAAAAAACAAAGCTCTTTATAGCTGGACTTGATTAAATAAACTGCATGGCACAGCAAAGAGCGGGTGAGAACTACTGGACTTGTACTCACATCTATTCCATGTATTTAGACAATACATGTGAAGAACATCACAGAACTGTCCCACTGGAGATGTCTCAGCAGGGCAGGGGATTTGGATCCCACTCAGATAACCACTTTGGAACTGCTCACCTTCCAGAGCTTGCTTCACACATACATTTAATAAATACAGAATACCTCTGAATCATTAGCCAGGTTTTCTTATGCTAACACACAAGTTAGTAAAATATACACCAGCAAGCATACCTGGTCTGTTATGAGCTTAGTGGAACAACATTTAAATGTTATTCCATTTGCACCTTTTCCAATTTTATAATTTCTGACCACAACAGCTAAAGACAATTTGTATTCTGCTCCTACAAAGATATTGCAGGACTGTGTTAATAAAAGATGAAAGAAACCAATCCCCCCAAGAGACTGTTTTTACTTTGTAGTTCTCATAGTTTGGATCAGAACCAGTTATGTCATGTCAGTGGAAACAATAATAGCAATCTAATGGTAAGACAAATTAATTAAACACGATTCAAACTTACAGCAATCTCATTTGTAAATGGTGAATTAAGGACTTTCAGAACATACTGGCCATTAACCTAAATGACAGAACCTGCTGCAGACAAAATTTAGTCCAGAGATCTTGTGCACTGAGTTTCACCCTCAGGAGTATTCTTAAAGCCCAGCTTATAAAACCTTGAAAACATTATGTGTAACATGAATGCCAAAAACCTTTAAAATACCACCAAATTAGTAGGTGCTGTTGTTACATGCCATATGCTTAAAACGCAACTGCCCTCCTTTCAGGGCCTTAGC